CAGGCAGTGGCAGCTGGCAGGACCCGAATTCCAGGGGCTGGAGCTCCTTGGAGACATCTCAAAGGCTGCAAGGACAGAGGCACGGCAGCACCCTGGGCATGACAAACAGCCCTCAAGGCCAGCTGGCTGTGGCCACCCTGCCCACTGGCCCTGCCACACCACCGCACCCGTCACCCGTCTGCAGCCGGGTGTCAGAGCCACCCTGGCCTGTGTCTCTCTCTTTCCTGGTGGCTCAGCTCCAATTAGTGAGGCCCCTATTAATTTTTTCCACTTAGCAGCTCACGTCAGTGTCAAGCTGGCAGCGTGAGCAGCAGGAGGGAGGGAGCTGGGGCGAAGGGGAGCCAGGGTGTTGGGTTCAACCCAGTAATGAGGCACACGGGGGGCTGAGCCTGGCTCCACAGCTGGCCTGGGCTGGGAAGGAGTCCCTGAAGAGCAAAACCATCTCAGCATCCCTCCGTGGGCTGTCAGGTCCCATGGTCCAAGTCACAGACTAGGTTTGGCAAGGATTCAAGCCATTTTTGGAGGCTCCTGCAGCTGCAGGCAGAGGCTGATCCCCAAAACCCCCACAGCAAGGGCCAACCCTCACCATTTGGCCTCTGCCTGGGGCAGCACCACCCTCCCCCTGCTGCGGGTCCCGAGGGGTGAAGCCAGCACAAACAAGAGTTCTGAGGCAGCCCCCTGGCCACTGGAGGGTTCCTGGAGAGGGTTAACCCCCTGGAGCAGGGGGTTAATGATGTATCCAGATGGAGCTGACCTTTCCACCTTTCCACCTTTCAGCTTCACCTGCAACTCCCTTTTCCCTGCTATTATCTGCATGGATGCCTGTGGATTTAATTTCCATATTCATGGTGTTTTAATGACCCTGTAATATCTTTATGTTCTGCAATTAAATGTGGAATCTTTTTTTTTTTTTTTTTCCCTTCTGCAGATTAGCATCTGCAAAGGATCATTTGTGGCATTTGAGCCGAGGAAGGGAAGCCTGTTCAGGGGGGAGATGGGGTTAATTAAACTTCAGAGCACAGCAGGCTCCACCGCTAAATATCCTTCTTCCAGTGGGACAAGCGAGGGTGAGGAGGGAGCAGCTCTGGGCTGCTTTACAGTCAGATGGCTGGGCCACCCCTGGGGCAGCTCCTGAGGGTGTTGGAGTGGCTTTAAGTCGTACAAGCACACACAAGGCACACGTGTGCATGCACAGGGCTCCAAATCTGCATTGAGATCCCTGTCTTGGGCTCCAAACCGGGACTGAACCGCTCTGGCGTCATCCCAGTGCAGCTGGGGCAGCCAGGCTGTCATCGGAGTGCTGGTGAGGCCATTCAAGCTCAAATCGCTCCATCTCCATCCCGGAGGCTAATGGGCATCTCTGCCACTGCACCACCCCCTCCTTGTTAAGAATAATATGTTACAGTTGCTGTTTGTAAACTCCTTACTTACCTTGTACCCCGGTCCCAGGATATTGTTAAGAATAATACGTTCCAGTTGCTGTTTGTAAACCCCTTACTTACCTTGTACCCCTGTCCCAGGTTTACTTACCCTTGTACCCCTGTCGCAAATTGCTGTACCCCATGTGTTTGTTCCTTGTTCAGCCAGGCCCTGCCCCCTCTCCCAAGTTGCTGTACCCTGTGTTTCTTGTTCTGTGTTCAGCCAGGCACTGCCCCCACTGCTCCTAGACTCCCACATGCCAACATTGTATCCCTGCCCCGAGTTGCTGTACCGTCCTGAGGAGGAAGATGACATACTGACTTTTATGCAAACGAGAGAGACCAGAGACTTATGGGATACACCCAGACTGGAAAAGACCCCAAAATAACGAGCCACGCAAAAGGGAAGGAATAGAACCAGCACCATCTAACAAGGAAGACCCAGAGGAGTCCCCTGGCTTCTTTCCAGAGGCCGACATAACCTCGAGGAGACTCGACTGGGATGACAGCCTAGACTACGAGCCTAAAAGAACGAGTCTTCCCGGGGACTCCCGTGAGGAAGGAAGGCCCAGCTCTGTCCTAGTGACAGAGCTGCACGGATCCTCCTCTTCTGCAGTGTCCAGTGAGAGCAGTGGCGGTGTGCGCAACCCCTCGGGCCCCCACCCCAGAGCTGTGCTGCTTAATAAAGGCTTTTTTAAAAGGAGCTGGTCTCCTGGCCCGTTTATCACATCCTGACCCTGGCCACAGATCCCCGGCTAGTTCAAATAGCTTTTTCTTCTTTTCTCCGGCTCGGGGCCAGGAGGGATCCTGGCCAGAACTTCTGTCTGGGTCCTGACCAGGATCTGAGCTCACTGGCTCACCTTGAGCACGAGTCCACAGAATAGGGTGAAGGAGCAGGGGAGGACTTTTCTTCTGGGTTATAATTCACAGCTTTATTTCTGTAAAGGGGAATCTAGGAGAAAGGACCGAGGATCTGACCGCTTCTTTTAAAGGGTGAACGCCTCGGGGGGTTGGAAATCTCAGGAAGCTTGTTTATGTTTAGAGCAGGTGGGCATACAAGCTTTCTACAAACCAACTACTACTAGGTACTAATAAGAAATACCAGAATAACAGAATGGATAGCCGCAAATAAAATGCCAAGAATTAGGGAGTGGGGGCCGCGGGGTGGAACCGCACTGTGGGGGGGAAGAGGGGCGAAACAGGGATATCTGAATCGCTTTGGAGGGGACACAGGCAAAGCGGAAATGTACAACAACCCATAGGGAAAACGGAAACGGATACAGCGCGGAGGAAAACGCGGGCTGAAATTGAAACTCGGGGCCCCNAGCCGCGGCAGCGCAAACCCCGGCACGGGGGAACGGGCGGGGGAAAAGCCCCGGGCCGCCAGCCGAAGGGATAAACTAACGCAAAAGCTTCTAACTCTGCTAACAAACTAAAAAACCTGCCGCAACATCTCCCTGGGAAATTCCATCTCTCTGGGATGGTATTTGGGTTTCAGCCCTGTAAGGTGGATGGGGCTGGGCTGAGAGTGGAGCGGGGAAGAATAGGAGGGGGCAGAGGCAGCTCTGAGTAGGACAGAACCCCCTTGGCCTGCATCCACCTCCTGCCCTCTGCTCCACCAGCCCCAGACCTTGTCTGAGGCATCTCACATGGCCTTGCAGGATGGCTGGGGACAGCCAAGTCCCAGCAGCCTGGGGGAGCAGAGCTGGAGTGGTGGCCAGAGTGTCTCAGCTCCTCCCTGATGGGGCACAGCGACCACAAGCAGCCCCAGCATGCTCCGTGCCTCCCACACAATCTCCCCTTCCTTCTCCCCTGGTCCTTTTGAAGCTGCAGCTGTGAACAAGATGTGAGTGTGAGGCCCAGGAGTGGCGCATTTGGCACATTGAATAAAGATGGGGACGAGAAATGCCTTCTCCTGTGGCTGTTTGATGGGAAGGACAGCACTGAATTCATTTGGAATGCTGCCAGGCACCACCAGAGCCTCTGTCAGCATCCAGGCAGTCAGAGCAACACAGGCTGGTGCCCTGTGAAGGTGCCACCTCGTACAGTGGCACACACAGGCACGTGGTCACAGGCTGGCCATGCCAAAACACCTGTGTGTGCACAGGGCTGGAAAGGAGGGCTTCATCCCCGTTCCAGGGGCTGGAAAGGAGGGCACCATCCCCGTTCCAGGGGCTGAAAAGGAGGGCATCATCCCCGTTCCAGGGGCTGGAAAGGAGGGCATCATCCCCGTTCCAGGGGCTGAAGAGGAAGGGCATCATTCCAGGTGCCATCCAAGCCCACACCCTTCCAAACCCTGTTGCCACTGGGTTGCAGCTGTGGTGGACGTGGTGCTGGTACAATCCCACCTTTATCCACCTCACAATGCTCCCACCCCTCCCAGGTGATCCAGGGGAAGAGGGGGACTGGATGCAAGCTCCATGTCAGGACACAGGGTGGGAGGATGGGAGGCCTGGCTGCAAGGAGGGGTGTGGGATGGCCAGGCTGTTCCCTCCTGGTCCTGCTGCTGCCTCCCGCTGCTCCAGAAGGATGCAGTGTTTTATCATCATCCTGTGAGGCTGACAGGCACCAGAAATAATGAGTTCCTCATCAGCACTCCTTCATCTAGCTCCCTCCCTCGGGGTTATACATCCACAGCCCCCAGGCAGCACGGAGGGAATGGAGGTGGGGGTTGCTTGCAGGGGTGAGTGTGCAGGACACGTGCACAGGTAAACAAACACACCTGTGTGCCTGGCCAAGGCTGGAGAGGGTCAAGCTGCCCAGCCAGGTGGATGAGAGGTCCCTGGGATGCCCTGAGCCACGGGAACATGGAGACCCTGCCCTGGCAGAGGGGCACGGGGACCCAAGTCTGGGCATGGCTGGCCTCCACACATCCCTCATCAAGCATCTGCTATTGATTACTGACACCAGCAAGAAACACTTGCTCTCAGCATATATTTCAAATGCAGGAGCTTCACTGACTGCAGGACCAACCCCATGGAAACCACGGAGCTGTGCGGAAGCAACAGGTCAGGGGGACTCTGCACCAAATGCCAGCGAGCAGCCGTTGTGTCCCATGGCAGCAGAGGCTTGTGTGGCTTTGCTGTCCCCTGAGCTGTCCCTCTGGCTGTCACCACACAGCAGAGCATGTGAGGGAAAAGATGTTCCTGTCCTCTCGGAGCTGGTCTTTTTGGAACGTTGACATCCTGAAAGGATTGGCCATCCCAGGGGTGGTTTATTTGGCAGCTGTGCTGGCGCAAAGGCTGCGAAACTGCAAACCCTCGGCGTGCCTACTTGAATTGCTGTCAAACCACATCTTCCTGCCTGTACCCTGAGGTGCCAGCTGGGATTTCAGCACACAGGATGGCAGCCTGGGCGTTATCTTACCTGCAGGACTCGTCCTGTGCAAGCCCAAGCCTGCACTGAATTTACATCTGTAGATATTGCACCTATTTTTGTGAGCCCTGCAGAGACTGTGATATGATAAGTATTTTGATTGTAAATAAATTACATTTGTGGGTTGTGATGACTTGAAGTGGAAGGAGGAAGGGAGGGAGGCAAGTTGGGAGGATGAGAAGGGAACTATATAGCCACGATGCTCACCTTGACCCAGCCATCCTATCACCTGTTGTCTTCCTCAGAAAACCTGGAAAAGGCCCCTGGAAGCTGTGTTGGGCAGCTGACAGCCACGGGGGATCCTGAGACACCGGCACAGCTCAGAAGTGTGAACACTGGTCTGAAAGCCTACACAGGTGTGGTGTTTGCGAGTAGCAGAGCTCCATCTAGCATTGGTGAAAACTGATGCTTCTCCAAAGCCTAATTCACAGCTGCTTTGTTAAGCCATGGAGCTGTTCTGTCTGTCAGCAGCCTCAAATGACCGGAAACCCAGAGATTTTTATAGAGTTTTTTATAGTCTGAGCTTCTGTTCTGCAGAATCTCCTCGGCATTGAACCCACCCTGCACCCACGGCAGGACACAGCCCCACACAAATCTCCCCTTTCCCAGGCAGTATCACTCCTTTACCAATACTTTTTTTTTTTTTCCCCCTATCAACACTGCATTTTTAACCCATGTAAACTTCTTTTTAATCTACAATACATTGTGGCTAAACACTCCATGGCTGAGCTTCATCATAGAAAAAGAATTTGCCCTTTTTCTCAGGGCTGCAAAGCTTTTCCAAGAAACAGAAATGCTTACCAGACAGGGCACAGGTAGAGGAGAGAAAGGGCAGGATGTAGGGCCACCCTGGTTTTGTAGGCAGATCAACCCCAGATTCAGCCAAAGCTACTTCACCCATCTGGGATTTGTTGTCTCTGTCCACAGAGACAACAAATTGTACAAAAGCTGCTGTCAGAGTGTTCTGATGAATCACTCGCAAACACCTAGAGAGCCTGAACCACCCAGGATTCCACTGCTCTTCAGGCTTTTTAAAATGCTTTTGAAAAATCTCAGAATACTGAATGTCAGCCACTAAAATCTCTGATTTAGGATGATGACTTCAGCACCTTGTCACCATGTGTTGCCTTCAGAGCCTGGCAGGGCTGCAGGATGTCCTCAATAACGAGTGGATCTCTCCCCAGATCTTAACCCAAAACCCCAAACCTCAGGCCTTGACTCAAACCCCGGCCTCTCTGCTTTTTGTGGTGACAGAACACCCAGATGCACTGCTGGGAGCAAGGCAGAAAGCAGCAGTTCTTGCAGACGTTTTTACTGAAGCTGGAGACGAGGTTACTCTTTTTATTGAACAAACAGCATCTGCAAACTGTTAGTCCTTTGAGAAGAGCCAGACAGCTCCGAGAAAGGGAACAAAGAGCTGGTGAAGTGCTCTGGTTCTCAGCTCGAGGGCCACCACCACTTCAGAAGCACTTGATAACACTTTGCTTCCTGAGCTCAGAAGCGTGAGCAAAACCCAGCATGGAGCCAACTGCCAGGGTGGAGAGGCTGCTCCCAGAGACTGAGCACGAGGCCTCCGTGGGCACAGCCAGAGGCAGATCCGGGCACAGGCACTGGAGCTGGATGATGACCCACGGGATCCATCATATGGTGAGGTCTGGTGGCAAATGTTCCTGCACACCCCGAGGGGAGGGCTGCCTTGCTGGCTCAGCCAGGAGTCCTGGAGGGATCAGGGGGCCACTAAGGGGCTGTGGGGATGTGAGGCTTGGCAGGGCTGCAGGAATCCCTGGTTCCTTTGTTGTGCTGGAGGATTGTTCTCTGAAAGTGTGTGGTCATCACCAGTTAAACAGAGCTGGAAGAAAACATCAGGAAGTTTCCACAAGTGCATCTCTGGTGTTCTTGAAGCACAGCCACAGCAAGGAATGATGACATAGTGTCTACACCCCAGTCCTTGTGAGGCACTGACCCTTCTCTCTGGGCTCCAATCATTATCTCCCTCTTCTGAACTCTAAATGACGTGCAGTGACTTTTTACCAAGGGAGTGCTCAGTGAGGATCCCTGAAAGTGTTTCCTGGAGGTTCAAGCTTCGTGATATCTGAAGAAGGCTGGGTCTGTGAGCACGGTTTGTCCCCTGACCCCTGTGGTCCCCGGTGTGTCCCTGTGGCCTGGAGAAGCTGGGGACCGTTCCTGGGCCTTCCCACCGCCTGTCCGGGCCGCTGCTCTCGGGGGATTCGTTTCCTTGCGGGGCTCTGCGGGGCTGGAGCCGCGCGGCCTCACAGCGGCAGTCCCGGGGCGGCTCCGGCAGCGACCAAACGGCCCGGCCGATACTCGGGGTGCGTTCCTGCGGGCACTGGCAGCCTCCACTCCCCT